TACATGGTAAATCTTCCTCGATCTCCCACAGCCGTCTGGTAACCTACAGTGAATTACAAATGGTAAATGCTATGGTTTATTATAAATGTAATCGAAACGAATTACTGATTAGTTTGTCTAGTGAGAATGCTACCTGTGGTATCTCCTAGCAGCAGATATTCTCAGCTTCTGTGGGCATGGTTGCACAGTTTCCACAGGAGCACCTATCCAAAATATAGAGAAAAATGGTAACATTCACCAGAATATAAAGCTTATGAAATTCAAAAACTGACAGACAGTGGAGCTAAGGTGGGTAAGAAGTAAGCTTGGCTACATATCAAGCGCATATAACAGGTAATTTATAACATGTCACTTATTGCATATACTGTGGCGCTTGACAACAGCGTAGTGTAGAAAACTGCACAGTTTAGTCTTTGACTAAAGATTAATGTTGCTATCAGACATGTTTATGCTGATTTACAGCTTTTATTGTAATGCACAAAATAAATTTACTACATAAAGGAAGATGTTATGATGAGCATCTGCTCAAAACATGGAGAAAAATTAATGAAAATCAAAATGATTTACTTTGTCAGCATCTATTAAAATATCTGACTAGTCTTGACATTGAACACCTGTAGCAGTCCACATACAACAAACATTTTCATAGACTGTAAAAGTATATCTAAGGAGGCATGACAGATTTACACATTGTACATTTATACATTACACAATTTACAATAGTGCTTATTTACCAAAAGAGCTCCCAGTAATGACGAGACAGTTAGCATTAGCTACCTAGCTACATGTTAGTAACTATGTGCCAGCACACATCAACAAACTGAAAATGTAAAGTCAAAATACACAAAATTGGTTACCAACCATTCAGAAACGTCCTGCTGCAGTTGTAGAGTTTGAACTTCTTCAGCAGCCTCTCCCTCTGGGTCAGATTCTGGATAAAAGTCGTGTGGTTGAACCAAAGCGCTTCCGACGCCAGGTCGCCGGTCACGGTCACCGTAAACATTAGAGCATGGTGCCAGAAGCCCAAGCCGCATCCCCTTCCGGAGAGGGGCGTGGTCAGGCACAGCTCATTTGCATTTAAAGCTACAGACACAGAAACAGCCTGTTCTGAACAAGGCTGAAACAGAGGGGTTTACAGGCATGCTGAAATATAGGATCGGAGTGGATTTTTTAGAAAGAAACTTCAAAGACATGTTTTGGGGACGTCTGAGACTTATTTGAACTTGTTGAAAAGGAGCATAATATGTCCCCTTTAAATAAATCATTTCTTGATTGAAGTGTCTGTGTGTGGCCTCCCTTTTTGTTGCCGGCCTTGACCCAGTCGGTAACACCTCCTTCATGACAACTGTTTATATAACTCACATGTTTACATTTTATTAAGACTTAAAGTTATGTAGAATTGAGGGTGTGGCCTCTTTGAGTGACAGGTGGGTGAGCGTATGCTTGCCACAAATTGTTATGCACCAAAGTCTCTGCTCCACCCACGCCCCACCTCTTTATCTATTTTTGGATAAGCTGGGAGTTAGGGGCGGGGGCAGACACTGCCAAGATGGCGACGGTGGCGCAGCTCACTCTGAGCTTTAAAACTGCTCTTCAGAGACCTGTGAGCAGTGTTGTGCAAATGAGCGAATCAGTTTACAAATGATGAATGTGAAACTCATGTTTTACAACAGTTTTATGGCATGCCGCATGACTTCTCCATAGACACAGCCCAGCTTGGCTGGTGCTAGCGGTACAGACGCATCTACTACTGCTGAAGCCAGTTTGTTTGAGCATTTGAAGCAGTTTTATGAACAAACAAGTGAAGACTCAGATGGATTATATTTATATACAGTTTTAAATGTAACTCATGTCTGTGATTCTTCAGTGGTATATACAATATTTTGCTTAGTTTGGGAGTGGCAGTGATTTGGGGCTGGTGATGGATGGGTAGAAGGAGGTTCTATTGAAAAAGAATAGCGACCTATTTATTTTTAAAAAATGGAACATATGAACATGAACTAGTTCATCTGTACGAACTTTGAACTAGTTCTTTTTAAGTGTCAACTGACACTGCCTGTGAGTGAAGTCATAGAAGCTATGTCCATCTTTATTTACAGTCTATGCTGTAAATAAAGTGGCACAGAGAGTGTTTTTATGTAAACAGGCTAGAAGTGGAAATGAGGCTAATGCACATGCAACCAATTTCTCAATGAGTGATATTTGTAAAGCAGAACCATGCGTTTTATACATCTGGCCCCTGGTCTCTTGATGTTCTTCATCTGATTCACCAGGGGCAGGGTTTCTCATGTTAAACAAACAGAGACATCTCTGCTGTGGTATGAGGCCTTTCAATGGGAACCTTCCAGACAGAGAGCAGACCAGGAATCTCTCTTTGACACTGGGATATCCACTGATGTGATGTACATATGTATGTTAGTGATCAGTGCTGGTTCATGTTGTATTGTGCTGCAGGAGAAACTATGTATATGTCAGTGTATAATCAGAGTCTCAGAGTGACTCCTGACTCCTCAGAGACAGTCTGAGGCCTGATTCTGAGGAGGAGCAGCAGGAGGAGGATTCAGATCTGCAGTCCACCAACAGCCTTTAAAATAAAGGAGGGGGAAACACAAAGTTAGGGAGTGTCTAAGCTGAACACCCTGACCGAAGGGAGGGGGGGCTGCCTGTGGTGAAGCAGGGGTGTAAGCTGTGATTTATCCAACAGCAGAGAGTTCCACAGAAAGACGATGACGCTGTCTGTCTGGAATGTCGACCAGTACTGGATAGAAACTCAGAGTCGGATTTCACTGCAGCCAACATATAAAATGTTCCCAGCAGCCCACTACCCCAACACACATACACACACACGCATACACACACACACACACACACACACACACACACGCGCGCACACACACACACACACACAGTATCAGGGAATCACTGCTGCCTCCACAGTGAGGACCTGTTTTTCAAAGAGAACACAACAAAGGAACATCCACTCAGTCCAATCACGTTTTCTGAGTCCACACTCAGTCCACAAGCTGGAGGGAGTCATCTCCTGTAGACCAGCTGGGAGGGTGGGCTGAACGTTAACCCCCCTTCCCCAACTTCCAGCAGCACCTCACAACCCCCACCCCATGGTTTCTGCAGCTGGATGTCAAACTATGAAACTATAAAACTATAAAATTAGATGATATTCCAAAAACCAACCCTAACACAGGCAGATCAGTGATTCAGCTTCTCGTCATGGTTCTATTCCTATGAGGTTCTGAATCAAGTCTGGTTTTACAGATGCTCCTGAATCTCAGGTTTAGTATCTGCACCAACTGTTTTAAAAGAGTGTTTGTTTAATCCCGAAAAATCCAATCAAGTGAGACGTTTTTCCTCCAGTTTATCACATCATGTCAATTTCAGCAAAACTCCATCTATCAAATCAATCATTTAAATTTATAAACACACAAGTTTTGATTCAGTATTAAAAAGAACAAACTGGGACTGGGATCAGGTTCCGCTCTGTTTAGAGACACAAAAGGCTGCATGCAACTTTCTTCACATCTGCAGTGGTCCTCCCAAACATCTGGAAACAGCACAAATACTCCACAAAACTGAGGAGAAGGGAGCCATGGACCTCAGGCTGCTACAGGCCCCTCCTCCTTCACTAGGGTCATGGCCCTTGACCAAGCCCCAGGGTTCAGGACTAGTGGCTGGTGTAAAAACCACCTGACACAGTGGACCACAGACCTTCAATAAACCTGGTTCCAGATCATCAGCATATGAACGACAACCTAGACCTAGTCACAGATAACAGGGTCACAGCAAACAGAGTGACAGCTAACGGAGTGACAGCTAACAGGGTGATAGCTAACAGAGTCAAAGCTAACAGGGTCACAGCTAACAGGGTCACAGCTAACAGGGTCACAGCTAACAGGGTCACAGCTAACAGGGCTAGACAGTATTCAGAGTATAATGTGCTCAAATAATACCCAGTGAGAATCTGTAATAACTGATTCTGATGGTTAGGGTTACGATATGAAACGTTTCCACTATAAGTGTATAAAACAAATGGACCTGTGTTATATGTGTTGTTGAGGTGTGTTCTTACATTATCACAAACATTTCCATCAGTTTTCAAACCAGCAAAATCAGCAATTTTAATCATGGTGAAGTTTCATTGAGTGACGTTAACAGCAGATCAGCTCCTCTGAGATGTCCTGTGTCTGCTGAACAGTGTCACTGAGTTTAAGATGAAACTGTTTTATTCAGTGTTTCTACCAGTTCTAATCACCTGGTCCTCTGTGCATAATCCAGCTCCAGGTAAAAACCTCCTGAACCACTGAAGGAATCCAAACTAGAGGAGGTGACTGCAGTGAGAGTGCGAGAGGACCAGTGATGTACTGTTAACTCTGACTGATATCATCACCATGTGTTAGTCATCATGGAGTGATGGTGTCCTGTCCTCCCTCCACAGCTGTCTGTCCATCAGAGCTTCATCTTTTTGATGATGAGTTCTTAAGGAACTGGTTAATGAAGACTGGTGAGGGAAGGATTGAGCCCTCATTGATACATAATAATGTCCATTATTAATTATTCCACGAGTCATTGAAGTCTATTAAATTATGTGTTATTTAGCCTATAATTTATTAAATCAAATTAATTAAAGTTGACAAGCCTCTTAATGAACAATGAGAAGTATTATGAAGATAGAGTCAGTTTAACAGCAGTTTCCTCTGACTGAAGATTCATTATATTAGAAGTTTTTTAAAGTCAATGTTTTTTCTCCTCCTTTAGAGACTTAGAATTATTGATTATAATTAGTAATACAGTCATAGCAACTGGAAATAAAACAATGGTGAGTTATAATCAGTAGCCTGGGCCGGGCTCTGGATCAGATGGACTGACTGATTACTAAACACTAAGGAATGAGTCTCAGTGAGTTTTGTCCTCCTGTCTCATCGCCTGCTCAGGGAGGGAGAGTCACTGTGATAACATTCAGCGGCTCGGTGTGGGGGTGTGCTTACCTGAGGTGTCCCAGAGCCGGAGATCCACCCGCTGCAGGTCCAGGTCGAAGCTGGCCGTGTAGTTCTCAAACACCGTGGGCACGTAGCACTGCGGAGGACACAGGACAGTGAGAGGACAGCCGTGGTATCAAGGGACAGGGGACAGGACCAGGACCTCTTACCTCAGGGAAGCAGTCTTTGGCAAACACGTTCAACAGAGCGCTTTTCCCGCACTCACTGTCTCCGACAACCACTATCTTACAGTTGACCGGGGCATCTGCGTCCATCCTGACCGCGGCCAAGACCCGCAACTTCCAGAGACAAGGAGGCGTCCTGAACCAGCAGCTCCGCTTGACTGAAATTAGTCTCACAGAGTCCAGCAGCAGTCTGGGTGGAGGGGCTCCACTGGAGAAGCCTGATCCGGGATTGTTCTCGGTCCTCAGCACCAACTCCTCCTTCCAGCAGCGGAGGGCGGGGCTCCACTATGGGAATCCCGACTGGACCAGGCCAATGAGGAGGCAGGGAGGGGCCTTTATAGGGCCCCGAGCAGGGTGTGAATCCAGATCAGTGAAGTCTGGCCTGATGAAGATGAGTCCACAAAAATAGTCTGTGTTTCTAATGAGAATAATTAAGTATGATACCATAAACATGGTTCCCCTCACAGTACCACAGTCCTCCAGTCCTCCCGTCTCTGGACCTCCACATGACCTCCAGACCAGCTCCAGGTATCAGCATCTTCCTCCATCATATTCTCTGATGACAGAGGAGAGGAGCTCTGACTCTCTCAGAGGTCTTCGCAGAAACTGAACACTCTCCACAGTGAAGCATGACCTTTGTCTTTGCAAACCACTCGTATCAATGTTTCCTGTGACTGTGGCCCCGTCCTAAGGTCCTGAAGCTCCAGCTGGGGCCTGAGTGGGCCCCTCCATGGACCGGAGAGCCCCACTGCTTCTGTATGTGCAGAGTCCAACAGATAACATTTAGATTACATTTAAATTGACTCATTTGGCATACGCTTAAATTCAAAGCGACTTACAAGTGATGTCAGCTCAGGGTCTCTTTAACCAGGACGCTGTGAAAGACTACAGGACATTAAATCAATTAAAAACAAGCAGGACCCATAAAACAAGGATCAGGTGACTTTTATCCACACTCTGCAGCCAACCAATCAGAAGAGAGGCTGAGAGGAGAGAAATGGATGGAAAGTGACATTTGTGAGGACGCCACGCCTCCAGTTCCCTCCATGTTGTCACGGCACATTGTCATCAGTCCACATCCACAGAGCTCCTCCACTGAGACTCCAATACAGAGGCAGAGAAGAGCCACAGTGAGTCAGGCTTTCACCGGAGTACCACCACCATCACCACCACTACAATAACATCTGTTTTATTTAATCTGTGGTGTTTCCATTAGCAAGCTGTTTTTAGCTCAAAGGACAAAGGAGACATGTAGTTTTTATGTAATTTAGATGATAATAAAAGAAACTAAATATTCAAAAATATCATCTATAACTTTGCTTGTCAGTGAGTTCAACAGAAACAGCTGATGATGTAGGTCCACAGTGTTTTCATTGTGTCTTTACCAAGAGAAACATTCAGCTGTTTCAGAGGACAGACTGTGTCTGACAGGCCACTCACAGAGCAGTGTGTGTGTGTGTGTGTGTGTGTGTGTGTACGAAGCAGGATCTGAGGTTATCGAGTCAGATTTAACTCGGGTTTTGTGTCCTACGATGACGGTTCATTTGTTACCATGGTAACTGCTTCTGAACTAACCTGCTCTGGATCAGATCTAAAACCTGCCAACAACCAAACTACTGACCAATCAGATCACTGGAAAAACTGAGTCATCATTCTTACAGGATCCTGACAGGGACAAAAGAGTTTACAATGAAATGATCAGTAATAAAGATCAGTAGATATTTGTATAGATCAGTGGATGTTTTGCTGTTTGAGTCGTTTCATGTGCTACTCTGGTTTTAAAACAGAGCCGCTAACAAACAGAGGAGGGTTTATCACATTAAATAACTACATAATAACTATTATAGCTTCATTTGAACAGAACGCAGCAGAATGCTGCTCAGTGCAGCAGAAATGTTTTTGATCCTCAACACATCAACATCAACTGTTGATGTTAGTGTTAATGTTAGTTACGGCTTAGTGTTAGGACCCAAAAGCAGACCTCAAGTTGGAAAAAAGGACAATTTTATTGAGCACTAAGGGATGGAAAATGGTATAGGCAGGCAGGTAGATGAGCCGATGGCTTGGGTGTTTGTTCTGGATCCGTAGCAGAGAGGCAGGTGCAGCTGAGGACAGAGGATACGCAGGATGAGCATAAGGAAAAACTAGAAATAACCACAAGGAAGAATTACTCGAAGGTTTGAGCCAATAGGCACCACATAAGAGTAGGTATAATCTGGCAATGAGTGGATGATCTGCTGGGGTTCTTATACTGAGGTTGATGAAGGTGGATGAGATTCAGGTGTGCTGCACCGCCCACGGCCATATAGCCTCCCTGGGGAATGACAGACTGGGAGGAGGGTGAAACACACTAGGAGCAGGAGAACAGGAGAGACAGAAGGAGAGAGAGATAGCGGAGGAGGGTGGAGATCCTGTCGTCATTAATGTTAATGTTGATGTTAATGATGATGTTGATGTTGATGTTGATTTTAATGTTAATACTAATGTCGATGTTGATGTATATGTTGATGTTAATGTTGGAGCCTTTGGGTAAATGTCAGTTTGTTTTGTCCTGGTTGTGATGACGAATCCATGTATGTAAATATACTGTAGCTGAGTGTATAGTAACAGTCATTCCACCATCACACCCTTACAGCCTGGTTAGACCTGCATTAATCAACAGACTGAACATTATTATTAAACAAACATTACTTAACCACAGATAGTGATCACTCATTATCAATAATCTGTTCTGATACTGAGCAGATTGATGTCACAGAACATAAACATTAATTATAATAACATATATTTAATATATTTCCCTAATAATGTTATGAGCCAGAAATGTTCTGTATTTTCAAATAATATGAGCACGTCTCTACTATTCACTGTATGTACTTTATTTAAGTTTATTCATTAATTTTATTCATTATATTTCTCATTATAATCATAATTTGACTGTAACTGTTACATTGTGGATCCATAATGAATGAATTATGTGGGAATACAACAAAAATGATTTATTAGTATATTGAATTTAATTTAGCATGAGACACAGGACATCACATACTGACTGGGAGTTGGTTCCACAGGAGAGGAACCTGACAGCTGGAGGTTCTGTCTCCCCTTCTAGTCTTAGAAACTCTAGGAACCACAGTAGACCTGCATTTAGAGAACGGAATGTTCTGCTGGGATAATAGGGAGCTATGAGCTCTTTAAGATACAAAGGTGCCTGACCATTAATGACTTTGTAGGTGAGGAGGAGGACCTCCAGGCCCACATGTTATTCAAACACTGTTCTTTTACACTCCTCTCATTATGGAACATTTGACTTAATGTAGACGAATAATGTCTGAAAAGAGGCTGAAACATGTCAACACATCCCCTGTCTCCAGGTGACACTGTCACACAGCAGGTTCTTCACAACACTGTCATGTTGCTGTGTGTAACAGACTCCAGTCACAGGACTGAGGGTCTTCAATCTTGTTGTTGAAATGACCCACTAATGCTGTTTGTTCCACAGTCTATCAACTGGGGTGGAAAAGCCTCTGAATGGTTTGGTATGATCGAAAGTGACAAATGCACCTGGTAGCTACAGAGAGAGAGAGATGGAGAGAGAGAGAGGGAGCACTCTGGACAAGTGGTCTGACTTGTCTCCAGCAGGTCTAAGAGTCACTAACAAAGCAGATGTAGATTTCTAAGGCCATGTTAGAGTGCTGAGAAAAGAGCAGAGAGAGAGGCCCTGAGGAGACAACCAGCCCCTCCACTGAGCTTGTCACTGAGACCCTGAGACTCCCCCTTTGTTACGTGACCATCATGTGCCATAAAAGACCTGCAAACATAAAGGACTTTTAAACTGGGTCGAGCAACAATATAGAAGATCTCTCACTGAGACAGGAAAGCAAAAGAGCAGTGCTGAACACAAACTAGCTACCATGATGCATCACTTCTCTCACGTGATGTTGCAACAGGGACGCTATACTGATACTGTCAGTAGATGAATGTAATGTACATTCCAGGTTATTTTCACCAGACAGTGAGGGTGTTGTGAACCGTCAGACCGTCTGACTGTCAGACTGGTCTCTGTGGTTTCCAGTTTGTCTTTGTGGGTAGAGAGCGTGGACAAACATGTCTGAGTTCAAACTGTAACCAGATGCTCCACCACACAAACACACAGGAGGACTTCCCAAGTTTCTGATAAACCTGGCTCAGGTCTAAAGCATGGCTTTGTTAATGTTACGCATAGTTGAGAGAGTTACATTTTACACAATCTGAACAAAACAAGAAAACTACCTGACTGTATAGAAGGTGATTTACTGGCAGGCTTGTCTGGGGTGTCTCGGCGCAGCTCCTGTGGTACTAATCTGACTGAGACCAGAGGAAACCAAAAGATTATGGTGAAACAGTTGTACAGTAGGCCCCCATGCCTTACAGCTATAATGAGTGTTGTTTAGTGTGCACATGTACTGTGGAATTGAAGAAGATTTTTAAGCCTAAAACAGAAGCAGTGACTCTCACCATCTTGCTCTCTGCAGAAATGACACTAGTCATCTACAAAAATATGTGGGTAATAATTTCGTTTTCACAATTATAAGCAATGTTTGTCTAAGTAAATTATTACATAATAAAATTTAACTTGAGGCAGAGTTTTCAAACTCCACCTGAAAACCACCAACATGAACAAACTGTGAATAAAAGCTGGAGAAATTGATTTATTATCTAACAAAGAAGTGCAGAAAAATAAACAGTAGCATTTGTGATGTAAATGACTTTAAGTAACAAAAGGGGCAGTGACGTGCAGTCAGGGGAGGCAGGTGAGGCACTGCCTCACCTGCCATCATGGAAAGAAAAAAAAAGTAAAAAGAAAAAAAATTAATTAAATTGTTATATGTATACAGTGATTATACTATAAAGTTATTTTCCATTTAACTTCACCAGTTTTAGATTATTTTTATTCAAAATCGCTGAATTTTGACATTTACCGTTCAAATACTGAGAAGAGACTTGCGGTGAGGCAGCAGCCAGCTGAGCCTCACCATGGATTGCGCAATGACCCGGCTAACTGCTGGCCTGCTGTGCAGTGAGACCGTATTGCTATCTCTCTGTATGTCGCTATTAAAATGTTCAAACACTTTTGCTATATGAATTATATTATAAATTTCCATAGTTTAGTTAGCTGAGGTATATAATGTACAGTGTATTTTATCAACAACTGTATGTGTGTAACGTGTTTCTTGTGCTGAGCAATCATAAAACGGCTGCGAAGACGCACTGGGTG